ATAAGATGAAGTCAAAGCCAACTTTAATTACCTTCGCAACCACGAAGATTATAAATTTTTAATCACTCAAGCAATCAATTTCCGAAGCCTTCGAGCTTCCCACTACATAAATACTGCATACACAAAGAACTTCCATAAATAGCAAAATATATAATGTACACGAAAGACATAAAACATAAAATTGTCCCACACAAATCTTTTCATTTAAAATTATTTTACATTAAATCTTACCACTCAGGATTGTGCCAAACAAAATACACTTAGCTAACAGGTGATTTACTCCGTCGTTAGCCGGGCTAATTCTTCCGCGTTCCTCGTTGCATATCTGCCTTCTTTCTATCTCGTTCTTGCGGCCAAGTTTACGACGTCATTACGGTTATCACGCGGATGGGACCTATGCGAGCTCACAGGCTCGACTGGACCAGCAAAATGCGTTGCGAATATCGTTTGTAAAGTAAAATGCCCTTGTTAAGGTTTATGCGGCTCCGATAGTTCTGTGATGTGGACTTAGATTAGTACTGCTTAGAGAACTGCCAATAAATTTTGAAAATCGAAATGTGTTAGTCCTCAACTACACCAAAGAAAATATACATTCTACATTTAATCGTTGCAGAGTTTACAATACCAGTTCAAATAACGAAAAACATATTTTTTAATTTTTGCATTCCTTAATTAGACATTGCGTTCGAGCCTAAATAAAGGGAAGTGTACAATAGAAAAACGCGGGCGGTGGCATTCCGAGTTGATATGCGGTGACAACTGACGGCGCGCCATTATATGTCCTGAACTTTGTGCCCGGTATCAGTGACTCTTTGACATTGGCTGACACCTCTAACTCTGCTGTCGTGCCTTTGTGACATCGTGACCCACTTGGACACCGCTTGTAGTCGCATTGTTCTCTCGTACGATGCTGTCACAGTAGCGTTTAGATTATATGTATGTAAGCCTTGAGAAATCACTTACTCTTTATTTAAAATGTTTTAATTATCAAAAAGCATTATAATTATTATTAAAACAAATTCAGAGATGGATAAAATCAATATTGAGAAAAGTTTAAAATAATCGTTATGGTTTCCGAGTAAAAAAGTAATTTTCATACTGGATTATGAATTTACGTTGCATTATGAATATACGTTGCAATTATATCGAATTCCTCTGTCCTTCTGAAGATAAATTAAGCTTTTGATCTTCGGGTGTGCAATCATTAGCACCTATTTGTATTGGGTCTTTGTTATGAGGTATGGTACCTATCTCCTTGTATTTCTTTCCACGATAAAGCTTTTGTTTCAACAGTGAAGACATTCAGGTGCTCTGATAATAATGAATCTCAATTCAAAAAGAACTTGATATAATTTCTTTGATCCATAACTATAACGAATACAGAATAAAAGTATATGAAATTGAATACTACACATCACAATACCAACCAATCCACTATTAACTCGTGACATCGAAAACAAACAACTTCAGCCACTCTATGTGTCATATCTCAAAAAGAACAAGTTGGCAGAAGGCCCCCAATCACCATTAACGTTTGTGGCACGGTAGAATTACTGTAACCTTAATTCAACCAAGCTACCGCAGAAGCTTAACAAGAATTTTTGTAATGTCGTAAAGAAGCCGCCGCGTCGGTAGCGCCACCCGCCGCGTACTTTATGTCACTCGATCGACCGATAGCGGATGCCGTGTGCACACACCTTTACAACATCGGCTCGCGCCAACGGCCATGTTTGGATTTGGCGTTGTTAATCTGTAGCAAATCTTATGGCGCCAAAGCTAGGTTTGCGTATTGTAACGTTTATTTAACTGTAATGTAAAAACGTTATTCGTGCCTCATTAAAAAGCAGTCATCTTGTAGTCTTTTTTTTCTCCTTCTCTATTTTTGTTTTTAATCTTCACTAATATTATTAAGAAAAGAAAGCGATCCTGTAGATACATATAACAAGTCTATATGGTATCTACAGGACTGAAGAAATGGACACTCATATTTGTAACACATTGTATTATTTAGCGACTACGTATAAACATAACAAATTTGAATTTTTACCAAGACAACTTGTAACATTGTCCCTGGATTATTCTTTTATGCCTATAAAAAAAAAGAAATCGTATAAACTCGCCTACAATCGCTAATCTTATTACTAAAATGTAACAATGGGCTTAAGGAGGCGTCGCATCAACATATTGTAGGCGGTCTACAGCAGATGTTTACACAGGCAACCATAGACAATCCGTACGAAGCGAGAGCAAAGAATGAAGCATTACGGAACAAAGAGTGAACGGACATAATAGCTTTTTATTCGACCGAATCTTATTATAACTGACGCGGCGACTAAAAGGACTAGATTCCTTTTAGTCGATATGTTTTGATATATTTCATATTTAGAGCAATTTGAAAATGGACCTCTTTTTTTTAATCGATCAATATCTTAAGTCTATTTACTCCGGAGCCTGCACGTTATATAAATGTAAGGAATAATAACCAGTGTTAAAAAAAAAGAAAATGTGTTAATGAAATTTAAACTGATAAGAATGGAGTTTTATTTCTAATTTAAACAGAATTTGAACCTAACGTTTTTGGTAAGACCGTGTTCAATGACATTGTGTACCTACACAATCGTAAAGCAATCTCTTGTGCGATCGGAAATCGCGGAACAAATTTAGCACCACAATAGGACCCCGGTGTTTGTCGCGCAGATAGAAATCTCGAGAATAACACCCTTCCCTATCACGATGTAAGTTGTTTATTTATGTTCATAATGTTGTCAAAATTTTCGTACAACTGGTTTCGGAGAAATTGTTTATGTTAATCTTAAAGGAATACTTTTTTTGATTCGATTTCTTTTGATCTTAAGAATCAGAACCTGTAAAAACTGCGACCAACTAGCTCTACCGCTTAACTGAAGTTTATCTAGGATTGGACAAATCAATATAGATAAGTGAATTAATTAATTAACGATTTATCGCCCCATTTTAATGCTCCTGCATACTAAATTTCATGAAAATTGTTGGAGCCATTTCTGACATTCTATTTTTTTACAGGAAATGCTCGTTTAAAAATATATCTGCGACAAACAATGTTAAATACATTAAACTTTATTCAATATACCCATTGCGAAGTCTCGCGGTATTGATATTCATAAAATCGAGAGATCTCGTCCGAACCCCAATCTCGCGAGATTGATTCTAAAAAGGATCACATTAAACTTGATATATTTGTAGAAGTTCCATATATTTTTCCATTCCATACATTTTCATTAATTCCCATACAAAGTTAATAATATAAGTCTGCTGACTGTTGATCTGTCAGTCTGACAAATCATTAAGGTTTCATTTTGACAGATTGTGACATATAATTTTTAGATAACATCACATATAGTAATGAAATCTGAAACAAGGGAGGTATCACAACCTCTAAATCATTTTTTTTCGCTGCGTAATATCCTCGGTGGGGGGAAAAATCCGTTATCCAGCAAGGAAACAAACAAGAGGATCAACCTCCAAATCCTCGGCAATATAGAAAATATCACTTTTTACATTGATCCGACTCCGAATCACATTATAAAACACTCGGCCATGAGTAACTAGCGGGCGAGCCACTCGGCCATGAAAGCACACTACTATATGCTTTGGTTCATAAACACCCAACGTGACCTTACGTGATGACATCCCTCATAAATTTCGCGTGTGATCGTGTTTTAAAAGTTTCTTCCGAAGTTTCTTAAAAATCGCTACATAAAACAAAGTAACATAACACAGTAATTGTAGATTAATTTAAGTAAATAGCTATTATTTTCAAAATAAGTATTTATGTTACATAATAAACTTGAAAAAAAATCAAAGAATAAAGCAACTAACAATGAATAGTCACAAATTGGACATCATCGACACGTGTCCGAGGTAAAAGAAAAAAAAGAAACGTTATCTTTTCTTCTTATTCAAAAACAGAAACATAAAATTCCAAATTTGAAATTCCTATTCACTGATACGAATAAGGTCGCGAATAGTGGAAGAACTTCATCGTGGCGGCATCCGAAATGTCCGTTTCTAATAGTACGAAATAGCATTAAATGGCGCGAAAAGAAAAAATATGACATCGGGTATTGTGCAAAGAAATTTTAAAATAAACACCTTTTGAGTGGGCGGGCGAGCGAATATTTGTAAATAGGTTTTTGTTGTTTGCACAAAAGTTTTTTTTTTCTGGACCCCGACAGGACTGACAATGTGATGTCGCGTGCTTTCAAATCTTGACGGCTAGAAATGTGATTTTTATCTGTCCTTTGAGAAATATTCTTATCGAAAATCTGTACGATGTCTATTCTTCTTCATTGTTGCGAAGACGTAATAAAATACCATCATAGCTCATATAATGTTCTTCAAGATATAATATGATAGTGTTACACTGAAAATGTCGTCCATTGAGTAAGTCATATACTAACTTCTATAGAGAAAAAAACCAAAGAATTAAGTATTAAATGTCGCTTGAATCGAAAATGGGTCACACTAAGCACCCGCATCGGCCAGTTAATAAGCGACAATTATTTTTATTTTCATAAAAGATATTAAACGCGAGAACGAATGCGGGCCATCGATTTAACTCGCTCGATTATCACCCTTTACTCGATACTATTTAATGAACCATAATAGAATTCGTCGTACGTCATTCTGAGTGCCGTCTCATCATGTCACTATTGATGATTTATCACAATTAAATCAGTTTGTATCGTTGTGTGAGAGTAAACAGTCAAGTAGATCGATGTTTAAAAATTTAATGAGTCATCATTTAGTAGAAGAGTTTATTTACACGAGTATTGAGGAACTAAAAAATTCAAAACAAAAAAGTTATAATACCTCTCAGTCGTATTATTTTACAAAAAGAATTATTCGAATTTTGAATCTTCACAATTGAATTACACAATACAGAACTAGAATACCGATCATTGAATCGCATTAATTATTCACGAAATACATGGAACCGTCATATCATATTTGAAAATAGAATGGATATTCCATCACAGTTACCTCTGATACTTCAATGTAAACCAAGATCAATGACTAGAAAATTTTCCGGATTCGGTAAGCTTCAATTATTTCAACCTTCATCTGTTTTCTGTTCGCTCAGTCGTCGACGCGGCGCCACCGTCTTTGTCACCAACTGTAATGAGTTTTCATTGGTGCTGATAGAACATTGATTCCCAGAGGTCATATCTGTTGACACCACTATCAATGCTATTTAAGCGAGCGACTTCAGTGTTTCGGTGTGCGTGATTCATTCCGCTATTTGGTGTACACTAATTTATGTCTAGTTCGGTCTATAATTGTGGGAATTGAGTAACTTTCTCGATGACTGGTTATTGGATGAGTGACCCAAAAATTTACTATATTAATCCTCTTTGCGTCAGAAATCAAACTTTGCCTACATGAGCAGTAGTAAACACTCACTTATCCCCATGGAGCCCACGAGGTTTGTTCTCCTTAAGTGATGTCCACAAGCTTTACATACATATTATACTTTGCACACATCATCAGCCTAGCTTTCACCTAAGTATAAAGTGCACGATGAAGGTTTCGTCTTATAATTGATTTATAGCTAAAGAATAATCTTTGTTAAATCTTCGGAAGAACCACAACCGCAATATATATATTGTTATATGTTTATGTTATTGAACCAATTTATAACAGACTAGCTGTTATCCCGCGACTTCTTTCACATAAATTAATACCAATATCACCAGCGTATGATTTAGCTTAAATTAGGCGAAGGAAATTTCATGATCGGATCAGTATTTTCGAAACCCCCTACAAAGAAACAAGTAAAGTTAGAAACTTTAACTCTTTATAATATACTAGCTGTTCCCCGTGACTTTGCCCACGTAAGTTCCTGTAGAAGGAAGAATTTTCGAAAACAGTCCAGAAGTTACGGAGCGTATTCAATGCAATCAACGAACAATCTTAACTTTCCCGTTTTTAACATTAGTACAGAAATAATATCTTTCAAGCACAATCATATCACGATACAAGATTGTCTTCATCACATAAACACTCGTTTTCCAGAAACAATGGCCTGTGATATTAACCCTGTAACAATCGAAAGGTGTCCGACATCGGTCCATCAGATCAAAGATCAGCTTGAGCAGGCCCAATAGCAATTAACCCTGTGCCGGCCATCGCAGCAATGTAATATAGTTCGATTGAAACGACCCCGATGAATAAACAACTATCAGAGCTAATGTAATTGAATGACGTCCTCTGGGAGGATGTACAGTGATAAATAACGTACACAATGAATACGTGCTACTTAAAATGAACTTTAATCATTAAAATCCTTAAAATTTTAGATGCATCAATTGAATATAGTAACCACTTTCTCGAATGAACAAAAACAAACTTGTCATATGAAGTCTAAAGCTTCACATTTCTGGTAAATCATCTTTATCACTCTTTTATATCGTAACGCTACCAAGTTCGTCGTTGTCTAAAATCCACAAATAACAAGGTAATAGATAATTAGCCTTGGATGTTATATAAAATAATTATTTAGTCGTGTTTATATCGTCAAAGAGTCACTCGTTGATTAAGACAAATAAAATATTCTTATATTAAATAAAACACCAATGTTTCATTTGTTGACGTGGAAAATTTAAATTTAAATCTCAATCAGAAAATAATTTTGACCAAAAAAAATTATTATTTATCATTTTAACACTTTAGGTGAGGGGCAATATGAATAATTAAACCAAGTGGATTTTTTAAGCATTTTGTATTAAGAATATTTTTCAGTGTAGCATTGTGAATGCAAAGTTGATCAAATGTAATAATTAGAACAGATTCTCATCTTTATCCAAAGTTTCAATATCTGTAACAATATTTCTTTTGGCTGTTTGGGTGGATGCCTGAACATTGATGAGAATACGCTCTGTAGTTGCGAAAAGTAACAAGTGCTTGAAAGATTCGTCAGTCCTGTTAGGTACTGGGTAGCCTGGTAGGTCAGTGGTTAGAGCAGTTGCCCGGATTGCGAAAAGTCGTGGGTTCGATTCCCATCTCAGGGTGCCAGGGACCAAGTGGATTTTTTAAGCATTTGGTATTAAGAACATATTACTGCATTTGGTGTTACACAAAATCTACATCCAAACAACACGCTCCTAACTGTAAGCTTATAACACTAATTAACAAATATGAGATTGTTGTTTAATTTTCGATCAACGGCGCAGTAGTTAGAGCGCTTGGTCTGCGATATGTTGTTAAACAACTTAATGGCCGGTCATAAGATGAGTGATCAAAAATGTGGTATCTCAAGCTCTTGCGTTTTTCAGAAAACAATTTAAGCCATTAGACCCAGCTGCGTCTGTAGTCGTTAATGCCCACCAATCCGCTCTGGGCCCGCGTGGTGCATTTGATTCGACTCCATCGATAGGGAAAAGAAAGATGAGGAAATAATTTCAAAAGAAGATAGCTAGATATGGTGCTGAGAGCTACTCAATTATCTCCTTTAAGAGCACTCATTGGGAATATAGTTATTTGTTCTCGTGACCCGTCCACTAAGATATGTTTAATTTAAAACTGCGTAATACGTATCAATTAGGTACATACAGTATAAAGCAGCTGTCGTGAAGCATCGCTCGACCAATTAGTTCAAGTGACCACAATTGCCGCCCAAGATTGCGTCACCTTTGAGACGAATTAGGAGTAATAGTTTCGTTTCATTTGTTGAATAGATATTTAGGTCATCCTGATGAGGCATGCGTGGAGATGCAACAGGTGTTCATACTATTAATTGGATATACGATATCTCTTGGTGACAAGACCTTCCCCGATCTGGTATTAAAAAAAAAATTAAACACTTGTTTTCTGCGGTTTCAAATTACACTTTTCTAGATCATAATTAAAGAAAAAAAAATTGAGAAGTCTTATAAGTTCAAAATTTTCACAAAATAATCAGTTGTTCTCGTTGTTGTATAAAACTTACAAATATGTCTCCGATGAAATAGAAATTTCAAGAAAAACCCATAATGAAAATGTATCTTTGATGAACGATTAACGAAGTCCAAATGAAGATAATTAAAATAATTAAACGTCTACAATTTAACAATAATTAAACAAATTACCATTGACATATCACAGACCATCAGGACTACTTGAAAAAGCGATTAATATTCACTGTCACGCCCATAGACAAGTGGGTTAATTTTTAATTACCACTAAATAGTACCACTGTCAGTTACAATATAGGTATGTGGTCACGACATCATAACAATCTTTAGAATAATGTATGATGAACTTTATACATCATTGTCACAGGCCACTTGCTTGTGAAACATACGACGATAAAGAACAGTTTCTAACTAGCAACCATCAATTTTTATAGCTTACACATTCACATCATTCCACATTCACGTTGTATATTTATTTAGTGACCCATCATAAAACTTATCATAACCAATAACTGCATAATATTTTTTATTATTAGACAAAATTTTAAAGGTATCGAATTGTCTAGAGAGAAGATTTTAAATTTTCATGTCGCCTTTCTTTCAGTCTGTTTCCTTAATCATATTGATTAGTGATAAATTGATAAATACATATACAAACATATATAAGTAGTATTAAATATTAATAATACGCAATAAACCTGAAACACTCATTATTACAAAGCGTGCAGAATTCCAACACTCCAGAACTACATCTGCTCGGGATCATAATGACCCTTTTGTTTACCGCGTCATTTCTTCCTTCTGTGCAATAATAAAAAAATATTAATGTCCCAACAGCATCAGCCAAATGTACCGGGGTCCTCCTAATCGCATTAAGACGGCCTGCGACCGTTCACGGGTTGTTATGCTTATTCGTTTTTATTTCGGGGGACTCCGCCGGAAAGGATTATTCTTATCTTCGCAATTTCTCATGCAATTTTCTAGACGTCATTATTGTGGTTGGCGTCTTTCAATTTTGCTAACATTTTCAATTATATGTAACAATTAGCCATTATGACAAACTAAAGTAATTTCAAGTCTAGATCAAACTTATATTCTAATTATTTATGTGGTTAATTCTTTAAACATAAAATAGATATTGTAGTAGAACTAACATCTAACAAGGAAAATAACGCTCATATAATGGCTGCAAGCATTGTGAACATGTCAAAATATCCTATTAGAGGGACTTAACACGAACGTGCTAATTAATGTGCAGCGGTCACTTCTTGTGTTCAGACATAACTTAAAAGATCATAGCTTTATTATTGACAGTCAATTTACGAAACATTTAACTTCAGAAATTAATGTAGCATGAGCATTTTCTTCGACATTAAATTCCCCCGACGACGTCGTTTTACAAAAGATATACTAAAAGGATTTCTTAATGTTAACTGTTTTTGTTTTATATTTTTATTTATTGCTTCGTTTCTTTTTACAGATGCGTGCGGCTTATCGGACGTGCCGCACATAGAAAGCTTACAAGAAAAATCACAGTGCGCCCTCGAAGAGTACTGTCGGAGTCAGTACCCAAATCAGCCAACGCGCTTTGGGAAGCTCTTACTAAGGCTACCATCGTTACGGACTGTCAGTTCCCAAGTGATAGAGCAACTGTTCTTCGTGAGACTTGTGGGGAAGACGCCTATTGAAACCCTCATCCGGGATATGCTGCTATCAGGGAGCTCGTTTTCGTGGCCGTACATGGCGACCATGTGACATACGATGTGGAGACAGCTGGCGGCGGCCTGATCCACGCCTTACGGCTTCCCGCCGTATCTGCCGAGCCAGCGTTTTGACCCATTCCAAAGGTACCAACGTGAGGTATCGCAGCCAGAGGACGCGGTCACGTCCTCGAGTGAGTTCCATGAAAGCACCGAAGCTGCTGCTACTTCAGACGAGTACTTCGGGTCGAGAACGAGCAGAGACAGCGAGAGAGCCGACCCCTGTCCAACTTTTGATCCTATATCAGCATTCTACGCTCCTAAAACGAGCGAAGAGACATTCGACGTGCCAACCGCGACTGGAGACACGCAGAAGAACGCTCAAAAGACTTCCATGATGATAGACAATCTGTTGAACATACGGAGTCAGGATTCGTGCTCGATTCCAGAGATGAAATAAGAGACTCGTGGGTTTGTTAAGTGTGGGGTCAGTAGTGCTACTATTAGTTAAAGTTTTTCTTTTGTTCCTTTGTAAAAAATGTAGGCTAGAGATAATATTTAATATTGTAAATAAAATGTTTTTATTGATGTAAATGTATAGTTATTGTGATAAGTAAATGAGGGATGAACTGTTTTTCTACGACGTTTTACGAAAGTTCTTTTTGCACTCATTTAGAAGAAGATTTTTTGTTTGTCTACTTTTTTAATGTTTGAACGAAGTCAATGTAAATGTACGCTATGAAAAGTATATTATTAGGGAAACAATCTTGGATTGAAAAAATGCAATAAAATGTACATTTGTTGTGCAATGTTGGTGTGTATGTGTAGTTATATTATATATAGAGGCAATTCTATAATTGAAATTTATGATGACTTTTATATAAATACATATTAGATTCAATGTTTTCATTAGATTTATACCAAAGTATAATCTTTTGTTTTGAGTTTTACTGTTGGTTTAAATCTAATTTGTAACTTTTCAGAAGTATGGTCGGTCATATTGTATACTTAATTTTTTTTAACCCTTTAATTAATTTAAACTGGTGCTCTTTTTGTTTAATATGAAAACACTTATGTATAATATTTATGTCTGAAATCTGTGAACACACAATTATAATATGATTTTTATTTGTAAACAAATGATTCCTTTATGCATTTAAATATTATACTCGTTTGAAATATTCATATTTTACAATGACACTTATTATTTAAAAAGTTTTTACAAATATTAACATTTAAAATACAGAGGTAATTGTTATACTTTATTTTTATTTATGTCTAGATCTTGTAAAAGCAATAAGTCAATTATATATTGTATATATCAAAACAAATAACTGTCTTAAGATGTATTTAATTTCATATATTTCGGTGATCTTAGAGTAAGTCTTAGGTACTTTTTTGAAAACATACTTCAGAAAGATCAAAAATCGCGGTTTATGTTCTAATGAATTTGAATCACGTGTATTTCTTCTTTTACAAAAACTTCCAAGTTTTTGTACTAATTGTTTTACTAACGAAAAGCTGTCGACCTAAATAAAAACATTTTCTAAATTATTGAACGTTCCTAAAAAGTAGATTTTTTTTTATTTGAACAGGCAAAGAAATATCTACTTTACTACCAAATTTGCTTTGATAATATACTTTTAGACTTACTTTATTTTTACATAGTATATCTCCTGCCAAATGTATGGAACTGAGAGGACTTTTAAAGAGAAGCAATGTATTTATTCGCAATAATTGTACAGACAATGACGGTTGTAAAAATAATGTCGGTGTGTATGGCGCTGCATGGAACGGCGCATAATTGAGGAATTAAAATGTCTCTATGGATTTTGAATTATTTATTTTATTATACTTATGCTTACCTATATTACAAATTACCCCGGTGCGATGCGTACGACCTTCGAACATTTCAGTTTTCAGTAAGTAACAGTCAGACAAATTGAAGCTTTTACATATTATAAGGTAAAGTAACAAATCTAGTAATTATGTATGTCGGCGGGAGAAGGGGCTATTACGAAGCCCAAATAGATCGTCCATATCGGAGGACTATCTTTAAAATAACACTGCAGGCGTGTATAACAACGTGGATTTGTTCCATTTTATCACTTTTCATACGAAAATATAACGAGATGAGCGTGATGTTTTCGGATGTCTTTACTCCTCGGCGATCGGAAACAGAATGTGTGCCAAAATGGCGGCAAATTGCTTTTTGTTAACGAACTGTCAAAGTCAGTGTCACCATTCTAATAAAATTAAAAGTATCCATGATCACGCTCTCTCTACAATCGAGTAATTAAGTAATCGAGTAACTAGCAATTAAAATAAAAGAAACTAAATCAAACGATCTTCGTAAAGTTGATGCGACATGTATAATATCTAGATGTTGTGTAAAATATTTACCTAGTTTGGTTAAGGTGATTCAAATAGCTGAATTTATCACTTTATCTTGCTTGTAATTAATATCAAATATAATTTAAATGAAGTAAAAAAAGTTTACAATAATTAAAATATTTAAAAATCACAAATAATTGAAAATTTTAATGCATGAAACGGTGTTATGGTAAAAATAGACGTCGCACTACCTCATGAAATATGTTAATTAGGAAACTGTAAGAGAAGAATGCTTATAGACATACAATACAGATATGAAGTATATAGGTTCATATAGGGAGATCAATTTGGCAAAACTGATGCTAACTAATTAATAATTAATATGGCCTTACAAGGATTCCTTTACAGTGTATTTGGTGTACTTAATCGCCAAAATAACGGAAAGCTAAGCAATTGCTGGATTTAACATTGTCCAGTTGAACAGGAATGTTTAGGTTAGATTAGCCCTCCGGGAACTCACTGGGCAGCTCACCTGCCGAGTGGGTTCACGGAGGAGAGTCCCACACGCCCCCTGTTGCTAGACGATAAAAAAAAAGGTTAGGTTACAACTGTCACCACATCAATGATTGTTCTTATTGAAATTAGGGTGTAAAGTGTATTTTAAAATTTGAACTCAGTGTAGTTCTTCTCATTAATGTCGTTACGTATACTTTCGCCACTCTCAAATAGTAGATGAAAATTCTCTAAATAAAATGATAAATTTAGCTCATCATCACCACCTGCCAATTAATGAATCCCACTGTTGGGGCTCAAGCCTTCCCTATGGATAGAACCGAATCAAATCAAATAGAGAGAATAGGCCATGACCCACCACGCGGGCCCAGTGCGGATTGGTGGATATTAACGACTGCAGATTCAACAAGGAACAACGGCTTAACGTGAATTCCGAAGCACGGGGTAGCTCGAGATAATAATTTTTTGTCACCCACCCCATGAAACCCGACGAAAGTCGAACCTTTGCGAAAGTTGCTTAACAACAACGATCTCGGGCACGACACTTATCCACTACGCCACCAAGCTACTATTTATTATCTATGCAGTTAAAAAAATATCCATAACTGTTAATTATTCACATAGACATGTAGTCGTTTCAGTAGTGAAACCTTGGTGCACCCGAGCGGCTGACATGTATGGACAACGATATTGTACAAAAATGTGCAAGAGTTATCTAATAATAATTAATAGTACAATATGTTCAGATGCAAACATTTTTATTTGCTAATAGCTTTTGGAAAACGGCTTCGCCCGCATAACGGCAATTGGTATATTGATTCATATCATGACACGGTTATAATTACAATTATAAATTGAATAGTAAACAATGGTATGGTAAAGATTTAATTCCCTGTACAAATTTCCGAAAATTCTCACTCCAAAGTCAAAACATTCAATACAAAAACAAGCAAAGTAAAAACATTCAATACATTGGAAATAAATGTTAAAGGCTGTTGGCAAAGCTCTTAGTTGCTATTACTTTTAACAAGGAGTAATGAAACAGCCTTTAGTAAACAAAATGGCAATTTTATAATTATTTTTGTAATCAGTACCTATTTATATCAGTATAGAACTGCAGCACAACCGACGAAGAGTTAGTTGCCATTGAAACTGAGATTCTGGATAAAAAAAAGCTGCCTAACCTAACTAAATACGAAATTAACTACATAGAAATGGCCAGTAAGTAGCCATGACATCATGTCGAGATTTTATCTAGCAAGATTAACGTGTGTGGATGTTACAGTAGATACCCAAAAACTACATTATTTTAAATAGGTGTCTAAGTATTTTTTTGTGTTAGTACCCACGAAAGTATTTGATGTGTATTTGTGCCTCAGGGAAGTGTGTTAGGTCCTAGTCTCTTTCTTATGGTGTGATAGGCTAGTGATTTGAAATGGTACAGTAAGGGCAGGTTCTTATGAGACATCCATAACTTTTTTAAATATTTTAAACTGCATTCACACCAATTTCGGAATAAAAAATGTACAATAAGTAATAAAATGCTAAAATTACAAAAACAATTGTGCCTATCAATCCTATTTCATGGGGGAATTAAAATAATCTTTGGGACCATTTAAGATATGAATCTTTTCAATGCATTTTTACTGATATACGAAAAATCAACTCAAAATATCTTCTGTTGTCTAACCATTCTATTTCTTACTTAAAATATTGTAGAAATCCTAACAGGAACTTTTTCATAAGTCGATAATGGTTAAGGCAGGTACACCTTTACTGTCCTATCTCCAAAATTCACCAAAAAAACATGGGGCACAGTACATATAGTCTCTGAAAAGACAACCGCACACAATTTAAAACACGACTCATGTTTCACATAAAACTCCACATCACTACATTGTATAAAACAAAGTCGCTTTCTTTGTCCCTATATCCTTATATATGTTTAAATTTTTAAAACTACGCAACAAATTTTAATGCGGTTTTTTTTTTTCATAGATAGGGTAATTCGAAAGGAAGGTTTTTATGTATAATACAAAGTCACGAGAGCGATTAACTTTCATCTTCATGTAACTGCTTGACATTAAAATAAAACAATTAAATTAAATGATTTGTAAATTAATAGGTAAGTACAGTTCAATGCGCATTATCTGCGAATGCTCAAATTATCTTTCGTCTCGAATAAAGAAACTCAAGCTTATACTAAATGAACACTTACCCGAAAGCCTTCATTTTTCTACTTCTTAGTTATAGAGCTTTTAATAGATCTGCGAAGTCTTTATAATTTTTTTCTTTAAACTTATGAAAATTATTGCAGTTTAACAAACAATATTAATAACAGGTAGTGTAAATATAGAATTAGAGCCTTTACTATGGGAATATACTTGCGTGCGGGACACAGGTGTAGTGACTCACGCGACGCGAGCTGTGATTCGCCCACGCGTGAGAACCGAACCCGGCACTGACACGCCGCGGCACTAACGCCGACACATTGCTAATTAGATGAGGTTGACACTCCGGACTTAACATAGTGGGAGGTCAAGGACGATTGCCAGTGACAGGTGACAAATCTATGCTGACTTATATAATAAATGCGAAAGTATGCCATCCTGG